TCTATATTTACTTTCTGTATTTACTTTCTATATTTACTTTCTGTATTTACTTTCTGTATTCACTTTCTGTATTTACTTTCTGTATTTACTTTCTGTATATACTTTCTGTATTTACTTTCTATATTTACTTTCTGTATTTACTTTCTATATTTACTTTCTGTACTTACTTTCTGTATTTACTTTCTGTATTTACTGTATTTACTTTCTGTATATACTTTCTGTATTTACTTGTTGTATTTACTTTCTGTATATACTTTCTGTAATTACTTTCTATATTTTCTTTCTGTATTTACTTTCTATATTTACTTTCTATATTTACTTTCTATATTTACTTTCTATATTTACTTTCTGTATTTACTTTCTGTATTTACTTTCTGTATTTACTTGTTGTATTTACTTGTTGTATTTACCTTCTGTATTTACTTTCTGTATTTACTTCCTGTATTTGCTTTCTGTATTTACTTTCTGTATTTACTTTCTGTAATTTACTTTCTGTATTTACGTTCTGTATTTACTTTCCGTATTTACTTTCTGTATTTACTTGCTGTATTTACTTGCTGTATTTATCTTCTGTATTTACTTTCTGTATTTACTTTTTACGCAGAGTACTTACCTTCGCTGACACAGAAATTGGGAATTTCAGAATGCTTTTCAAATCCAATCAAACACTTGCATATCCAAGACCCATATGTATTCTCACAGTAAGAATGTGCTTGACAATCAACTGGCAAATGTTCACCTAACACTGGATTGTTACATTCATTGTAGTCTAGAGAACAGTAAAAATACCACGTGATGATGATGAATCATTATACCGGTGTTTTACTGTTTATGCCTCGTGAGGTATAAGTGAACGGCAGCTGAATGTCGGAAGCGACAAACGCGGGGCAGAGAAACTTAACGACGAAATACAAGATTAAAAATAGTTGACGAATTTGTTATTTTTTTAAAATAGATTGGCACAAATTTTGCAAAGCAAGTACTTCCGACCAAAACTGCAACAGGCAAATACAATGTGAATTTAACTCTTTACCTGATATTCGAATAGACTTTTCCCCTGATGTAGCAATCTCGTATTTGTCCAGCTTTTTTACATTAGTTCCACTAAGGTTACTCACGAAATCATTGTTCAAACTGTTTGCATTTGGAACCTGGCCTCGTTTGAATACCAGTAGAATTTCTGCGACAACACTACCCTCACTAAACAACGATAAACATTTCGCTGAAGTTTACGGGATGGCTTCGGATTGATGGATAGGCTACAACTCCTGCATAGTTGTTTTGAATGTACAATCACGATCCGAAGGCGAATGGAATGATATGTACATATTATATAATAACATTAAGAATTCAAGCGCTTTCATTGGTCGAGTACCATGATCTGATTAGAGGATAGCTGACGCACGGAATTATACGTCACACAAAACCATATCTATAATGGCATTCTTTATTCCTTATTTCATGTACGCGTGATATTTGAAAAATTTCGACTATTTCAAATTTCCAAATGTTTGGGTGGATAAAAAGTAAGTTATCTTTAATTTTTATTATACAAAACATATAGATAAGATATTGACGTTTCTGTTCAGTTATAGATACGCAGTATGACATCATAATGTGGGACGAACAAAAAAAGTGACCCGCGCACTCGCCTCGGTGGCTCGTTAGCCACTTTTTTGTTTTTCCCATGTCATACTGTGTATCTATAACTGAACAGACAACGGCAAAATCTTATCTATCTGTTAACTATTCGTATCCCTGATATATACATACCAGTAAAATACCAGTTAAAAGGGGCCCCAAAGTTTGCGAAAATTAAAGGGCCACAAAAGGTGTAATTTTTAAAAAAATTATTTGGAACGTGTTTTTTTTAAATATAAATAATGGTATGAGAAAAATTTTTAGACTTTAATTTTAATGTTACTGGTCCGAAAAAATGTGTTTTACCCGTGTTTTTACAAGTATTTGTCGTGGAAAATTTTTTGAACATTTATTTTTTTGAAATGTTCGGGAAAATTTTTTATTCCCCCTCCCCTCCCGCCAACATTTGTGGGGAAAATAAGCTATATGTATAATTTCTCTAGGAGGCCCTTGAACAACCGGCCCCAGAGGATTAATACAGGTTTATGGCCTTCAGTACTAGCGCGCCTCTACACAGTCACATGATAAGACGCGCGCAGCAAGCCTTTCACTTGCCTCCTTTCGTGCATGGATATGAATCCCGTACAGAGTACCTTAAATTCAACACTTCCGAGTCGAGAAAATCGTTTGGATAAAGTCTTCTGAAGTATTGATTCAACTATAAAAAGTCATAAAATTTTATGAGTTGAAAATCTTTTCCGGCAGACCATGTTAAGAGTGAACCGATTAGAGTGGACTTTTATTTAAGCACGGGGGCTTCTCATCCAAATTGAGATTATCTTCCCAGACGCCGTGACATTTTAATTATTTACAATATTTACAAGAACATAAGAAATTAAAGCTATATTCATAACAAATTGTTTTCTACAGTTTATTTTTGAATATTTTTAGTGGAGATAATCTAACTGTCGCGGGTTTAATTTATTCGCGGGTCGCGGTTTTTTTCCCGGGTCGCGGGTTATTAACGAAAGTCGCGGGTTTTTCGCGGGTCTTTTCTAATTTCCCTGTCAGCGTTCTTTGCCGGGGGAGGGGGGAGGGATGTTTACACGAAACGTCGGCTGTTCTCTTCAAAATAAGATCGCACTAAACTTTATTTTTTTAGCATATACAGTTGTTTTACGAAACCGATTTTGATTAATTTAAAAATCTCAAAATATTAAAACTCCGTTGGTATCTCTGTTGATAACTCTATTATAAACTCTGCTGATTCTTGCAATATTATTACAAATGGTAAGGAATCGTGTTTTAATTTTATATCGTTTTGGTCTTTTATTGAAGACTATTAAAATAGCCCATCAACATTAAACTCGACTGATAAATTAATACAGATATGAGTCATACGACAATGTACTGTTTACGATAACTATAAAATATGCACTTCCGGGCCTCTTTTTTAATTAATCAATTAGTATAGGTAATCATGCGATGTTGCTCGTACAATTAGGGATTAATAGTACGAGTGACGTTTGGAAATTTTGCCAAAATTGGACGAGCCGCCGATCACGTGTTTTTTAATAAACGCTTAAAAAACAACAATAATTTTCATCATTTGAATAGTTTAAAAATGTATTTAGAATAGGTTTAACTTAATGTTTATGTTCCCTGTTTAAGAAATAGAAAACAGACCAATCTTCTCATTTCATGGTAATACCCCGAGCCTGCAATCACGGCTTCAATTTTTGAATTGCAGAATAATTAGATGCACTATCTAGTGTATATGTGTGAATGATTACTCCCATTACGGCATTAGCACTATTAGTATTAACCCTAAGTTGAATGCTAAGCCCATGTTTTGGTTGAGTTATATGTGTTTGTTAATGACCGTTCAACTTTATTTAAAAACAAGCCGTTGAAAAGTTTGATTCAAGTTTTTTGTTACTCGAAGGTCAGCTTGACCCTGGAGGTATGTGTGAGATCTTAAGTGTCGGCTGTACTCGGCTCCCCGCCTTAAAAAATGTTACCCATTTGTTAAACTGAGAAACGAAATACGAAAACACGAGCGAAAACATATGCTTTGGCACGAATCAAAACAACTCGTACATGCATGCTATTCCGAATGCTAGCGAACTGCTACCAAATCAGTCTGATCATTCCTCACGTATATTTTGCTATTACCGAATCATAATACGTTTTTGTCAACAGAGTTTTTAATATTTTGTGATTTTCAAGTCACTTCAACCTTCGAATAACAAAAAATCTTCAATCAAACTTTTCAACGGCTTGTTTATTAAAATAAAGTCGAACGGTCATTCACAAACATGTATAACCAAAACATGGGCTTAGCACTCAACTTAGGGTTAATAGTGCATGCTAACGAGTAACGAGTTTGAACAACAGGCCTCGGAAGTGCATATTTTATAGTTATCATAAACTGTACATTGTCATGCATATTTGTATTAATTTATCAGTTGAGTTTATTGCAGTGATGGGCTATATTAATAGTCTTTTATAAACGACCAACTGAGAACGATATAAAATTAAAACACGATTCCTTACCGTTGCATGAATTAACAGAGTTTTTAAATAGAGTTATCAACAGAGTTATCAAATGAGTTTTTAATTTTTTTGAAGTCAAAATCGATTTAAAGACACTGTATACACAAAAAATAAAGTTTAATGCTGTTTTAGCTCGAAGAGAACAGCCGATTTTCCTGCAAACATCCGGCAAAGTACGCTGACAGGGAAATTAGAAAAGATCCGTGAAAAAAAAACGCGACGAAATACCCAAGAAAAACCCCGCGACTTTCGTTAATAACCCGCGAAAAAAAAACGCGGCCCGCGAAAAAACCCCGCGATAATTAGATTATATCTCTTCTTAGTGAAGTGGAATTCCTAATTTCCATTTGTATTGAATTTCATAATTAATTATATAATTTAATTAGACTCTTTTGTCTGGAACACCAACATGGCCGTCATGGCTTTGTTAAGTTGGTCCCCTGGGGAATAAGTGCAAACGCTCTATTCGAGATTATTTTTCAAAAAAAGATAAAAAGAAGCTAACAGACTATCCAAAGACCTAACGGACTACAGTAAACCTCCGACTATGAGCCCGCCCCCCCCCCCC